CTCATTTTTTAGTTCGTAGAGCTGTCACCTGATATAAATATTTCCTTAATGTACGTACAAAAGTTTTATAGCTCGTGGACAAAACGACATTGCACCCATCGGACTAGATTCACAAATAATACTGAATTTATAAAACTAAGATTAAGGGGGTATTCTAGTTTATAAGGCTAAAAATTACGTGATTATTCAAGAATTTTTTTAAAAGAAATTAATTAATATATTAATATAAAACTTTTTGAAAATTTATTTGTACAAAATAGATATTTAAAAATTATTTTTTCGTGTCAATATGTATCACAAAAAAATACGCGGTGATGTAAAATGTATAAAAAAATTTCTTTTTGATGCGTTGACATCATTCCGTTAGTTCTACTAGCCTAAAACTAATAAACCAAGGAAATTATTAAATTGTAAGAGTTACACTATTACTGAATCTAGAATATAAGAAAAAAATTGAAAATTGTTAAAACAGTAATGTTTTGAAAAATAGTATCGATTTTCACCTATAAATTTGTTTCATTTTTTTTTATATAATAAAATAGAATAATCGTAAATTAAATTTCATAGTTCCAATAATAAAAGAACATATACTAAATAGACACGCAAAAATTCAAGTCAATCGGACGCTTAGTTCCCAAGATATTATGTCAATGGGTTGAAAAATGCTGTTTAAGAAAAATGCATTTAAAGTTTTACGATTTATAAATAAATTAATTGTAAATAATAACCTACATCTATCTCAGCCTAATCAGATATTAGCTTTGATAATATATTTTCAAGACTATCAACTTTCCAAAAATGTAATTAAAAAAATCGATTTTTTTGACCCGACAAACTAGAATACCCCCTAAAAAAGGATATATATTAATCTGTAAATTACGCCATAACTTAGGTATGTATGCGAAGACTCAGAATAGTAAACAAACTAGTAATTGTGTCCTGCAATACGTGCTTGAACTTGAAGAGATGCCGTTACAAAAATAGGCTTGTTCATTTTGGCTAAACTTTTGCAGCAGTTCATCTTTTTTCCTCTACTTTCCTCTTGGAGAAAAAAGAATAAAATATGAACTGATGTAAAATGTCAATAAAAAAAAATATTAGAAATAATGTTAAATAAAGACACATAAATACCTTTGACTGAGACAAATCGATAATGTAAAAAATGAATTAAATATGTCATTGTTATCAATATTTTTAATTCAGAATTTAAAAAGACTATACTATAGAGATCAAATTCGGCCGCCACTTCAGCATTGCCTTAAAAATTTTAATTTAGTGACTCAAAATCTATAAGAAACATTCTTATTCTGATTTCAGTTAATTTTCAAAAAATTTGTTGTGATCCTAGAGATTATTAATATATTTTCGCAATTTTCTAACATTTAATTAAAACTAAATTTAATCAGAAGCAAATTTTTATTAATTATATTAAAATTTGTTTCTATTTACAATAAATTTCTTAATATATCAGTAATTAACATCTAATTTATTATATTGTTATTGATATCTTTACTTTTGTATTCTTGAAGCTGTCGCACCGATAATACATTTAATTGCCAACGATTGGACAAAAACAACAACATCTCAAGAAAAAGCAATGATGATAGCAAAAGCGCAAATTGCACGCATTATTATCATATTTGGATATGGCATGATGGGAGCGGCCATTACTGTTATGGATATTTTGCCCATATTTGGTTACTCAGTGAGACACTTGTCCAATATTACTGCAGATTTGGAGAAACCACTCCCAATTCAGACATATTACATTTACGATACAACAAGAAGTCCACAATATGAAATGACATATGCTGTTCAAAGTATTGCTTCATTACTCTGTATCATGTGTTATACAGGCATAGATAGTTTTCTTAGTCTTTCAATATTTCATATTTCTGGTCAACTGGACATTCTTAAAAATCGTCTCTTGACTTTACATGCTGTCGCCAATTTTAACAACGTTTTAAAGAATTGTATAATGGAACATATAAGGCTGCTAAGGTATATTTTGTCCTAAATACATATTCCTGTATATGTATAAAATAGACTTCGGGTTATTTAACAATACTTTTTCATCTCTCGGATTATCCGATCACATTATCAAGGTCTCATGATAGCATTACGCCCGATTTTTTAACATAACACTACCTTGATCAGAATGTCGACTCGATAATAAGATCAAATAATCCGGAAGATGAAAAAAACACTGTCAGATAATCCGGATTCAACTGTATAGAATAACTCCGGCAAATACGCCGCGCTAGAATTTACGCCGCAAAAGAAAAAATAGGAGTAATAGGGGTAATTTTCCCTCAACTCTATTATATGCCTTTATGTTATATCAGTATAGTGTTACGATTTTAGCTTCTTACAGTTAATATTAATGAAATTATTATAAGTTGAATCGACTGTCACTATGTTAAGTAGCTCCATCATAAATCATAATCTACATAAAATAATTACTGTAGAACGTGCAAAAGACTTAGTGGTTATTTCGTGATACAGTGAGTGGAGAGCAGTAGTAAAGCATGTTGTATAACAAAATATAAAATGTCTTCTTATAGATGTATATAAACATGATATCTTCTATAGTATAAAGTGTTATATAAAATGACATTTTATAGAGCTGTTAATCATGTGGAAGATATATTCAGTATAATATTGCTGATAATATTTCTGTTTTTTGGTATACTCTTCGCTTTCTATGGATTTTGGACAATAAACGTAATTAATTTTATAAGAATTTTTGTTATACAATTTACTGTTTTATAAATAGTTTTCACATACATATAGATTTCATATATAAATAATGTCATATTTATTTTCCAATTGTAATCACAACTTACATTTACACACCTTTTACGTGTATTTTATTGACAATTTAAGAATTGTGAAATGACAATTCTAAAATTTTCTATTATTATATATTTAAGAAAATTTTTGAAATTAAAATAACCATAATAATGCAAACGAGAGAATTTCATATTTAATATTCACAATAGATGCAATTATATAAACTATATTGATACGTGTATAGCTTATAATAACTTTTACAAGAAAATCGGCTTAGATAATAACAACTTTTGATTTTAATAAAATATTTATACATAGGTTAGGTAAATAGATAAAATCAATTAATATCAGATGAAACAAAAGAACAATTTCAAGAAAATTCTAAAGTAAAGCCCGAACTCTGATGAAGTTATCAGAGGCCACTGTTTCTCCAGCGCATCGATATATAATATCTTTATATATTGTACCATCACATCAATATCCCACACAACTTATAATACACAGTCGCATGTTTGTATCAATTTTCGTATAACAAAGTGGCGAGAAAGTGTCTAAACCTAATTTTAAAAACTTGACATTATTTGTTCGTGCAAATTACGTATCTGTGAATTATTATTTCGAAGTACAGGTTGCAAAACTTTCATATCAAGCAAATGTTGTCACAACTTCACGGCTTGAGACGCCATGTTACATTAAGAAATGATAAAAAATGTATCAATTTCGAAATTTTTGATTATTTTCATAACTGAAATCCATCTAACGTGGAGTTCCACAATCACGTATTATATTAACGCGTATATTTTAATTTAAGGGAAAAATTATCCGAATCTGTAAAAAAGAAAAAAGTATTTGTCATATAAAAATTATATAATTTAGTCGATATAGACAATTTTAGGATTCTTTTAAAACCATGATATAAAAACAAGCGAATCGATCAATTACAATAGAGACCGTAAAATCGTAATGTAAGATTGTAACGTAACTACAATAAGTTTTTAAGCCTTAATGCATAAGAAATGGATAAATCATCAATTATTCTACTCACATTTGACTGTAATTGATCAATTTCTTATGGTTTAGGTTTAGTGTTTAAAACACTTAGGGTGTGTTACGAGTTACACATAAAGTACATGATGTATCGTTTGATCCTTCTTTGTTATTGTATATTTGGTGAGTAACAAGAACAAATGATACATCATGCGCTTCATACGTGATGCACCCTAATTATAAATCCGGACTAAGCAGTAGCAAATCCAACACGTTGGTTTCTTATTTACGCCTAAATCTTAAGTTTTTGTATGTAAGGCCAAAGCCTTTAGGCTGAGTTATTCCATCTTTCGGTAAACTTTCGGTAAACTGACTGTCTTACTCTCTTACCATTATCTTATGTTCTTGCTTTTTTACTCTTTTGTTTATCCGGCAGATAAATTATTACACATAGTTTATCCAAACATAGAACAATAAACAACCGAAACTATTAAAACAATAAAAATTCTTATATACATAAATCATTTTTTTGTTATATTC